ACCATCTACTGGCTCCAGCTACATATTTCCTGCACAAATGTTGATTTCTCATGTAACTCCTAACATAAAGCAAAGTATTATATTTAATACGTTTTAAGTTTAATGTAGTTACTTCATTTTGTAATAAGAAAATGGGAAATTGGTAATTTTTAACAATTCCCCAGATCAAATTCACTGGGGAAAAAAACACAATGGATGCTTATTGTACCCACGTCATTACCTCTAAACAGCACTTCACTGAATTAATTTGGAGGTGTGTATTAGTAATGCGAGTGGTAAATAGTCTGGAAGTGCATTTCAGTGTAAGCCTGAGGGGCCCCGTCTCCTGCTCTGGGCAGCTCTCCTACCTGTGAAGCCTTTGCATGAGTAATTTTTTCAAAAATGTTCCTTTTGTCTTGTTGTTTTATGTGTGGCACTTCGAAATGATTCCCACATTAGATTTTTTACGGCCCAATAAACTTGAGAGAATCGGCCCAAATTGGCTGGTCATATTTAGAAGCTTTATAAGGAAACATATTAAGGTGTAATTGCTTCGGGGGAGTGGGCATAGGTGAGGGTTACAAAATCGCCCCTGCGCTCTGCGGGGACACTACCGTTTTGTCTGCTGCTCAGGAGTTTCCAATCACCATGAGGAAATATGGAGTGTATTAGATGATCTTATATAATGCGTTCTTTTTATTTCACATTTCCGAAAAAAATGAAGTTTTACGGAGTGGTAAAATGTAGCCTAAAATAAAACCATCTGTTTGGCGCTACGCTTTGCCAGCATATGGGATGACAATGATTGAGGGTGGACCCCCATGTGAATTCCCCTCAACAAAAAAATGCTCACAATGAATGTTTCTTTACCGTGATGGAAGTGTGCAGAAATGTTACAAAACAAGCTTTCTCATCCATGTGAAATACTGAAATATGACGCAACACATTTATATGATTCCCAGCTCTGCAACTCATTCAAACTCACAAACCTTCTCCAAAAAATGTGGGATACAGGAATCATTTAGCCAATTCGATTCATTAGAAGCAATCAAATTGTTAGACCGGAGGGAAAACGAATGAAAAGTCAAACGTATCATCAGTCACGTGGTACCCCAAAGAATCTGTCATTGTGTCTTTCTCACCAGCCGAAAGTTCATGCCACTGCATGTTTCTTCCTCTGCTGTTTTTTTTTCCGGCAGTGTAGCATGGCATGAACGCACTGAGGGGCCTTTCACCGGATTCATCTGATACCGCTGTGACTCGGAGCAGGAGCTGCGCTACAGGCCGGGATCGACATGCATGGGTTAGTAGGTCAAACAAGGAGCTAGTCTTTCGACAGAGTTCGGAGGCTGGGTCAGACTAATGTGATTTATCAATACGGCACATAAGTGAATCATTGTCCTTAATGGCCATGATAATCTCCGAGACAGACCGTGGACGTGATTGGTCGATGAGTTGGGGGTGGGATGGGGTGTGTGTGTCAATGTCCTGGACTTGATGTCTTGATTAGAGCATCGGGAACATGCACCTGCTGGGTGTCCGTGTGTCTCAGTGTATTTTTTCTCACACACACACACACACACACACACACACACTCAGATTTACACTTATGGAAGCCTGGGAGAGAAAGACAAGAGCTCTGTTCCTTGACGCCGGAGCTCAGGCTCAGGTCAAGACTCTGCTCGCTGTAATCCCTCTCAGGTGATGCTGTTCACATTCAGCCGTTTCCAGCTGATCTGCTTAAATATGCCGTCCTCATCCCCCTAAAAACCCCCACCTCTCCTCAAACTGGCACAACTTCTTCCATGATGTCAAATCTCAGATCGCTTTCCAGCATTGCCATTTAAGTGATGAGTCAAATAAACAAACTCTTTCTGTTTAAAAGGAGTTTTAAAAAAAAGAAACAGGGCTCACATCACCTGGATTAGAGTGGCATCATGTGAGAAAGCCTTGTTAAAAGACGTACCATCAGAAGGGCCTTTTTTTCACTTTTTCCAAAGGCAAGAGTGGCAATGCTGGCCTCCCTGTTAAGCACTTAATCAACGTATTATATTGCGCTGAAAGAAGCGGGTTCCAACATTAACACTTACACCCACAAACCTGGGACTTCGTGTGAGCTTTCAGCACACTGAGGACTGATTTCCAGGGCTTGGAAAGAGGGGCTGCAACTTATCTGCGTCCAAACACGCTCTAGTTTTAACATTTATACACCCAAAGACTGACTTTAGATGTCCAATGTCTTCTTTTTTGTGCATTTTTATCATTAAACCACAATCACAAGTGTCTTAAAGTATCAAGTTCCTGGATTCTTTGTTGAAATAATAGCACATTCAGCCACAAATTAGGACTATTTTCTGCATATTTTTGCATCAAAAAGTAACCACACGCCCTTGTTGCCAAAGATGCGAAATGTCATGACCTCACTGCCTCCACCCTGCTAGGCTGCATTAGTTTCATCTAATCACTTTTGTCCTACTAAAACATCTGGGAACGGTGTTGAAGTGACAGATTACACAGTCGAATGTGATCCGAAACATGCTGCTGCCTGCTGGGAATTCAAATGTGGGGGCTTTCTGGGTAGACGCGGAAGGGGTTAACGGTATCACATGGCAACTTTTCACCACTCTCCGCTGCTATTACCTATTCATTACCTGTTTAAAACGTCTCAGGGCCCCACTGCGCTCTTCCTCCAGGCAGCGCTGGTACTCGAGCCCTGATTTTATGTAGTCAGCAGGTGGCATCATTAGCCAGAGAATAAAAATGAAAAGTAATACCCTTGTGTCTCGCTATGATATCATAGAAGGGCTCATTGGCACCATTTCCTCCCTTCCAGTGGGGCCGGATAGGAGGTAAGGAGGTGTAAATTTAATATGTTCTGTCATGTGTTCGACATGAAGAAAATGTATATGCACAATTACCACAGCCAAATGGGAGGTTGGGTCATGCCATGCAGTGAGACAAGATCAGCCCAGAAACCGCACAAAGATCCCAATCTCGCCTCATACATCCCAGCATGCTCCAGTCATACGCAATGACTCTTTTTCTCCTTGACATCCCGTAATTATCATGGCATTCTCCATCCCTTTCACCTCACTTGGTCATGTGGTTTGCACACACAGTATATCAATGGCAAAAAACGTGTCTTTTGCATGCGTGTTAAAGAATGAAAAAAGACATAATGCAGGATGTGTTTTGTTACCCATAAAACAGCTACGCCTGGGGAGCGGAGTGTGCAGGGGCCAAATTGAGTTTCTAACAACGCGTCTGGGTCTCAACACTCCTGAACGGTTTGGATAGCTCCGGCGTGCATGCCAGACAGGCTGTGTATAAAGCTGTCACAGGAACCTTGAGGGCTAGAAAAATATTCAAGCATTGCTGGGCCTATTGGACGATGATCTCTTACACATGCTTCTTTCAATATAACCGTGATAAATAAAGGAAGGAAATACCGAAAAGTTGGACGGCTGCCAATGCAAGCTAGAATGGCACTTTTGGCCCAAAAAGTCATGCAAAACACACATACACTTTCAACATAACCGTGAGGGGGCCAAACCTGTACATATTTGCATGGGATTAGTTTGACAAGTGTAACATCCGTTTCTGAGGGCTGGGGGGTGTAACAATGTGTAGCTTATAGAACTCAGCCTAAAGCTGTTCTGGAGGTCAAATGTGTAAGTTAACCTCTTGATCTCATCCCCATTGGTAACCCCCCCCCCCCCCTTCTCCCTTTCTCTCTCCCACAGATACACCTACACAAACTCGTTTTGCTGCTTCACCATCAAAAATATCCTCGAGATTTAAGCAGGTTCCTGGAAAGTGTACCATCTAATAAAACGACATTATATGTCGTACACAATCACACAGAAAGAAACACACAGAGGAGTTAAAAACGTGTGTGTGCCAGTACCCCGCAGTGATTGTCTGATTATTTGCAGATGGGCAGTGGAGGGCTCGCAGAGTGTGGAGGTTCCCCCTGGCACGCAGCGCATATGATTACATCTGTGATTGCCTTACAATTTACAAGAACCGCTTTCTCCTTCTGCTCTGACTTTAAATGTTTCTACTGTACTGTATATACTTTGCTTTACTGTGCCCATAAAAGTCCGTGCCCCGTGCGCAATTCGGACTCCTCTGACGGTCACCCTCGGAATTATGTCACCGGTCTGCTCAGAGGGCTCGGCGGGGGCCACTTTTACTAATCCCACTGTCTCCTCATTCATTCAGAGTATGGACTAGTATTTACAAAGGGGCTGATCCCCTCCTCAACTCCTGCGCCTCCGCTGAGCGATTGTTATGCGGGTTTCCTACCAACTGTTCAAAGTGGTTATGAGATCAATTAAAAGCAGCTTAAGGGGGTTGGAGTGGAGATGGGCAATTCATAAGTCAGATGAAGGGGATTCCGTGTCTATTCATTAAATAACTCCAACAATACCAACCCCTCCCCTGTTCCTGATGTAAGCTGCCAGCTTTCTCTATAGACCGATCCGCGCCAGCAGCTTTTTGAGCAGTTTCACATGTAAATAATATTCGGAGCCCTTTGTTGGGGGCCACAGAATCGGGAAGTGAGCGTTAATAGCCCTTCTGACATCGTGGTTTTAAATACAATTAACCGATCCAATGACGAAACGTATTTTTATATTCATTTTTGGAGAGCCACACGCGTGGCCAATTTTGCGCACATTTTACGCATTAGCTACCGGCTCTTAACTCGTTACATAATATGGAAAATCTGTTTTTAGGAGGTTGATAAATAATATTAGATGCTGCGAGACTCAATTGCAACTTAAATTTGATTGAAGAGTGCATTTCTAGAATTTTCCAATATTGGATAGGCAGGTCTCACCTGTGCGTATTTAGAAACATCTAACAGAAAAAGTCATAAATATTTGACTTAAAGCTTCCTTTTTTTGCGCAGAAGCCGATGTTTAACAGAATATTTTAGTAGGACTGTTGCCTCCCGTGACCCACACAAACTCCTCAGGCATCTGTTAAAGCCCCCCCCCCCCCCCCTCTCCTCTTACCTCTTTTGTTTCTCTTCCAACGGTGCGACGGCGCCTGACAGTTGCTGTACTCCATACAGTTCAATACGATCAGCGCAAATGAGAAGAGTCGAAACTGCATCTGGACGGTGATCTGTTGTCCGGACTCCAGAAGAAAAAAAAAGAAGATGCCAGCAGATGTGGCTCAGGACGAATTCTCTGACTTTCTAATGTCCTCCTCCAGTTTTTTCTTTAAGTCGATCCTCAAATGTGTCAATCATCAGACGGGATGCGACATGTTATCGCGCCGCCGATTGGGATCATTTTATGAAGCGCGCTGATCCTCCAGTCAATAAAAGTGTCCGCTTTGTTGCGCTGCGGGGAGAATGACAAAGGAGGTTAACTGTGATAACACTGTAATGAAATCAACACCTTCCTAAACAATGATGCTTTGGGGGATAACAGGGGGGGGGGGGGGGGGGGAAAGAAAAGATCTTCTGTGTGTTAATGTGGATGCAAACGCCCCTTCCAAAAAAATAAAACAAGCGCAGCCGTGCGTAATAGTCGCTCCGTGGAATAACGTGTCGGTGTATACCTTGCAGTGTGTAATTCCGCTCTGGTGCACTTTTTTTTAGGTTCCCTCTGAGTGCAAGTGCGGCTCGGGAACATGCAGCATCCCTCTTTGTGTGAGAAACTTGTTAAGAGAAGTCCGAGAAAGAGGGAAAAAGGTGGTCGTGGTAAAAAAGGAGGGGATTTCCTTTCCCCTTTTCTTTCCTCTCTGTAAAAAAAAAGCTTAGATTCCCTTTACCTGCGTTTCCTCACTCAAGTTATCCGCTCCGTGTTTCTGTAGTAAGAGCAGCAGAAACTCACATGTGTTTGCTTTCTTTAAAACGGGGAAAGGAGAGCCAGTGAGCGCAGAGTGAGTGGCGGGGCTGCTGCTGAACTCCAGACTGGTCCTGATGCTTGCTGCCTTTTTGCTCATATAGCGCCGTGCCGCTGTCACGTGTGGATATTTTCTCGTTTTGTGTTTCTTCTTATTTCAGATGTTGGAGATGACATTTAGTGTAGTCAAACCCCCACCTCTACCCCCACCCCCCTGCGCGCACTCACCACTCACCCACAGTGCCCGGTATATGAGGTCGCCTCTGGGTCCTAGTGTAGCTAGATCTACATCACAGGAAAAAATGGTCGTTTTAAAAAAAGAAAAGAAAAAAGTGGAAATGGGATTGCAGCTTGTCTGCGGCGGAGAAAGAACATCTAGGGTATTTTATATTCAATTACTTATATTATTATGGCGATCCCATTTCCTTATAATATTAAACGCAACAAAAAGTGATTCTTTTTTTATTTACAAATACATTATAGGCCTACATACATTACAAGTTAAAGTGTCTCAATTTTAGATACAAAATAACTCAGTTAATCTAGTTATCTCGGCCCTATTGAATAATTGGAGGTTTAACCAAGAAAAAGGCAATTATCTAGACAATGTGCGTAATGATGGGGGCCCGCAAATCAACCATCTCGTCACGCCTGTTTTATTGCGCACCCAGCAATACACCCCCCTTCCTCTGAAATTAATGGTAATCGTTGGGGAGGCTGTAATTGTGGGACATGAATAAATCATTCAATAATTTCAGACATTTTTTTCTTCTCCAGGGCCTCTCACAACACTGACCCACGGGACCTCATCAACATGTGAGGTGGTCAATGGAGGCAGATTGTCCTTCAGTTAGAATTTACCTTGTGTTGTGTTGGGTTGGGTTGGGGGGGGGGGGCTGGCAACGATCCATCGCTCTATTCTGTGACATTCAAATGCTGTCTGTAAATTACAGACCAGAGATGAGATGTGGTGTTCATAAAGTTAGTCAAAGAGGCTCATAGGAGAATAATCACATTGTAGTTATGGAGAAATGTATTTAAAAAAACTAAACATTTATGGCATTATTTGCTTCACCGTCTAATAGCTTATTGGAGAGGAAGTTGTGAATGCTCTACCCCCTTCTGCCACTAGGTGTGGCACTTAATCTGTTATTTATTTCAGGAAATGATTCACATGTGAGAGTTATATCTTCCATAAGTGATTCTACATGAGCCAAACTAGTGTAAATCAAGGAACAAACTTTCATTATCAATAAATATAATAATGTTTTGATAAAACTGTTAAAAATGTAAATGTTTTTGGTGTCCTCACAGAGAAGACACATAGCCTACCTCCCATTTTAATATTAAACATAATAATTCAAATACTGATTTTGCCAGATAAACCAGTTAACAAAAACATATCCTTTAGTTAGAAAACACACTCGTTTCCATTTGGAACTGCTTAAGAAATATATGTGGGGGAGGGGGCGGGGGGGCCTCTAACAATATGTAAAAAAAAAAAAAAAGGATGAATCGTGGTTTCCTTGCCAAACACTATAGTGACCTTTGTCCTGCCTTTGTTTATTTATTTATCCAGAGAGCAGCGACAGACATTGCGGTGTACCCACTGCCTTGGGTTTGGGTTCCTCTCCTAAAACAACATGAGAGAGTGCACGGCTAAGGTGAACGTGATAATTTAGGCCTCGGGGCACTTTTATTTTCATGATGTGTCATGGAGAAGGGGGCCGGTAAACCAATCACTTTATTCTCTCCATCCCTCCTCCTCCCCTCCCTCCCGTTGCAGTGCACATAAGTGGGGGTGACGTCAGCATTCGGATGGTCTGGCTCCGAGCCCTCCGTGCCATAACAGCAATGAGGGGAGCTGCTCTTACACCCCCCTCCCTCCGTCACACATCCATAATTGGACGCTCTTTAGCGTGGGCTCTCGTCACAGTTTACTAGGTAAGAGGGAAAATGGTCCCAAACCACAGTGGTCATCTCCAATCTTGAAAATGTCAAGGCAGAGGATGAGGAAAACTTGGAAAGTTCAAGTTATACTTAGAAACTCCATGTTTGTGGCAAGAGGCAAACTTCAATGTCCAGAAATAATCTAGCATGACATTCACAAACAAAGCTGCTACGTTACGTGTCATGTAGCTGACAAAACTGCCTTACCTCAAAGTCTATTTGAACAGGAGCTTGATTTGAAAAAGGAATTGGGAAAATTGGAAATGTAAACATCTCCAAATATAAAAAATGTAAATTAGTTGATGAAGAATATGTGATATGGTATGATCTTTCGAATATGCAAATCAACGCCCGTACAGTACAATTGTAAAATTCTGGAATATGAGATAGTAAACAAGCTCCCCATTTCCCTGTAAGGGATGAATACAGTATGCCTTCTTCTTTCTTCAGATGGTACCGTTTTCGTGTTGGGAAGTCTTCCGATGTTGGTTTGTTCATGATATTAAAGTCGTAATGTTGAACGCTACAAAGAACATGTTGTATGTTATTGTTATGAGGGTTTGAACAACACGTTGATAACGTTTTCTGTGAATGTTTCAAGTCGGGATCGAATTTTGACAGAATTTTCTAACACCATGGGAATGCAGCCAAATGTCGTATCGTAATTTCTCTGAAAGTGAGATTTAGTGATTTTAGTAATGTGAAATAGTCAAAGTATATTTTGAAAATGCAATTCAGCCCATGTAGGCAGTAAAAACATTGTTTTTGGTTGACAAATGCTCCTTAAAAATTGCCCTGAAACCCAATTTCTCTATTAGCATCTCCTATAGATTACGGGATCCTAAATGAACACAAACAAGTTAGTTGTTTCATAAAAAGAATAGAGGGCAGATCTCAGAGTCCAACGCCTTCACAAGCTCTCCAGAAGCTACCATTTCCTGTGTTGGGAAGTCATACTGTTTGTTCATGAGCTTCAAGTTGTATTGTGGAACGCTACAAATAAGAGGTTGTATTGTTAAGAGCGCTTAAAGAACATGTTGATATTGTTTGCTATGAATGACATTTTGACACCACAAGAATGCAGCCGAAATGTCCTTTTGCAATGTCAATGAAAGTGAAATTTAGTGATTTAGATCTTTCGATTTAGGTCTCTCCAAATCCCTTCAACCAAGTTGGGCTTTATGTTTTTCCGTAAACCTTTTGACAAAACAAGATCCAAAAACATTACCTCCTTGGCTAACAAGGCATCCCAGCTATGATTCAGACAAGTGTAAGATCCTTTACCAGATCCTTAACCAGTTTTCCTGGGTTTTAAGCCAATATGCTAATCGGATTCCCATTTTTTTTAATGTTTTACTTCTAAAAAAACATTTAGTGTGCTCCACCATTCAGACACGTTGCAGTTACCACCTTGAAGCACTGTGGTTGGTGGCCGGGACTTATTATAGGTCAAAACAAAGCCAATGGAAAGGAAAACAGAGTGGTGCTGAATGACTGGAGCTTCACGCTTTTGGTCTCGTGGATCGGGACTAGGTGTGTAAACCACCTGCATGTTTCACAGTGTTGACTGACGTTAAGCAGTGCTGCCTCATTCCCTCTTAAAAGACGTTTATGGCCCACAGTTTGGAACTTTTTCTATGGCAATGATTTAAGTGGTAGGGCTGAAAAGCTGTCCTTTTTTCTTCTTTTCTGAAAAAACATATTCCTTGTTAAAGAGTCATTTCATGTAGAGATGACACATTCCACTTTCAGACTTAGCCTAATAAAGCAGGTGCATTTCTACATAAAATCCTTGTTTAGTATGAAAATGATACCCTAAGTAGAGGTAAATTAAAGACATGTGAAGGAATGAAAGCCTGTTTGTGAGCAATTGTGATAAAGAAGGAGGAACGGAGAGGCGGAGGACTGAGTTATGAGAAGGTCGAAGGCAAGGAAGAGCGGGGGCGGGGCGGAACATTAAAAAGATTGTGTCCGTCTGGCTAATGGTTCTTTATGGCTCTCTCATGTCCTCAGATGGGCAGAATGACTGGCAGAGTGTGTGACCGCTGCTAACTGTACATCACCTCTGCTTGCCCCCATCCAGCTGACGTCCCACTCAGAGACTGCCCGCCACGCTGAAGGGAACCACTAAAAACACCATAAAACCAACAGACTAAACAGCCATTCATCATTACTGCGCACACATGAGCCGCATCGCACACAGCAGTCTTAACTGTCCCAGTCGGTGACTCAATGCGCACATTAAAACTTCATCAAGTATTACAGATAGAAAAAAGTCTGACCACTCAGACCTCAAACCGCCGCTTGTAATGTCCAGAAATAAGGCAATCATGGGTGAAAATGGTTATGTTGGTCACTTTTATTGAATTGGTGATGACTTAAACAAGTCAGCACTGTGCTTCATGAGATACAAAGATTGGAAAAAGTTCCAATGTAAAACAGGATGGATCCATCTTCACTGTGTCGCTTAAAATCCAGTTTCGGTACCTGCCCAGTTGGGTGTCTGCAACAAAAGAAAGAGGAAAATTAGAAGATGACGGATAGCGATCAAAACAAATGTTGTTTGTGGGAAATGTGAAAAAGTATCATACATGTGCAAGCAGTTAAGTGCTGACGTTTTTCTCTGCGAGAGTTGACAGGGACCCTAAGCAGCCGCCCCAGATGGTAGGCAGTAAATGCTCTCTATATGCAAGTGATTTGTAGCCTTGAGGACAGCAGGATGTAATGGTGCTCTGTGAGCCGTTTGCAGACTCTTTTGTCTAATTACAAAAACTCCTTAATGAGGGGGGTCTTTTTCTTTTTTTAACGGGAAAGGGTTATGGCAGCACTCCCGCGGCAGATATTCAAACAATAGGGTTAGGGGTAATTGAGCACATCAAAAGACATCCATTTAACATGTCTGTTGTAACTCCGTGGCCTTGGTGCTGTCAGGTGTCGGGCCCATCAATCTGATGTGACAGACGTGCGTGTCTTCAAGGAGTGGGGAGGCAACGGCTCACCGTTCAGAGTATGTGCGTGATTATGACACTTTGTGTAGTTGGGAGTGCTTGAACGGTCCTACATACCACTAAAACACACAAGGTCAACATCAAAAACACACTTAAGTGGAATGACTGGACCCTGAGCCAGACATCTG